TTATCAAAAGAGTAAGAATTTAAAAAAAGAAAATGGGATTCTTAAACTCAATTTCAAACGCTGTCTCTGTTCTTGTGCCCCCGAAGTGAGTAGGCAAAAACACAGGCCTTTAAATTGATAAGAAACTATAATTTACAAACAAGCAACAACTACAACCCTATCTACGTCGGAAGTGTTACTGATACTGTCGCAGTTATACCTCAGCCAACGACACGACACCACAGAATATAGATTTATTACTGTTATTAGTGTTTAATTTTAATTATTCATATGTATTTAACGAACTGATAGTTTTGAAGATATAGTTTAAAATGAACCTGCCAAATTTGATGTAATTGAATGATTAGCTATTTTATTTATTTATTTTGTAAAGGACCAATCTCTCATACAAGATCTTATTAAACAAACTTTTCCGTTTCATCAGATGTCATACAGTATTATTTATATTTGATGTAAATGCTTATTAATTTCATACTTTAAATATTAACACACAAGAAAACATTTGTTTAGAATGTATTAGCTTGTGTGACAGAATAGACTTAGTTGAGTAAAATTAAAAGAAATCATAATTATTTGCATTGAAGATACAGATTTATCTTCCTTACGAAATTACTAAATAGTCCCTTTTTTTTACTGTTTATATTATATAATTGTAATTTTTTTTTAAATTTTATCAAATACTTTTTAACTACAATTTTTGCTTTTAGAAAAGATAAATGTAGCCGTGGCAACAGTACTTTCATGGAGCTTATTTATTTTGGATTGGAACAATACTAACGGACGGACAGTCACCATCAAAATATTTGTAGCTATTTTCTTTCACTAACGGCTAAAATTGGATACTTTTTTTAAAAACATATATTATTTTAATTTTTTGTTTAGATACACACACTGTCATAACAATAATTTTCACATTTTAGAGTTCCTAATAACTAATCGTCATCATCTCAAGACCTTTTTATTAGCGTTCCTCATGAAACATTGTCCCTCGATAAAAACACGCCACTCTCCACTGTGTCTTGCTAGTTTTTTAATGGCTTCCCAGCTCTTACATATCATCTCGGCTTTAAGTAGTACTCTGCATCGCCAAATTTTTTATTGGTCATCCTCTACGTCCTGTGCCCTGTGGGTTTTACTCTAAGGCCTGTCTAGCTATTTTTTTTTTGTATCTTTTGTTACGTTTTGACCAGTCCATCTCTACTTTTTCTCTAAGATCTGTACGTGTAAAGAGACATGCGTTTCAATTTTTATGTAGATATTTATATATTATTATTTATTAGCATTTTTATTTGTATAATATGTGAGCACACTAGATTTCTTTTTTAGTCTGCGGGCCTCATAAAACCCTCCGGCAGGTTGCATGTCGAACGTGGTTCGTAATTTGCCCACCCCTGGTATAGATAGTGCTATTATAAAACACTAAAATGTGTCTAATAATTATTTGATAATTATTACATCTATATGTTTCAAATAGATTTGTAAATGGGGATCGTGAAACTATTAAACACGACAACGCGCACATTGTCTGCTGTGAGAATTTCAAGTTAATATAATAATGTGAATTGATCTTTTATATTGGTATACTGATTTTTATAATTGTTATAATAAATTTAAGAACTTTAACTACAGAAATATAGATAAATAGAGAGATAGATAAATAAAAAGATAGATAGATAGATAAAGGAATAGGTAGACGGATGGATGTATAGATAGATAGATAGATAGATAGATAGATAGATAGATAGATAGATAGATAGGTAGATAGAGAGAGAGAGAGAGAGAGAAACTTTGCTCTTCCTCAGGCACGTTTGCTGGCTCCGACTGTGCCATTAAATATGTGACCATCAATTCAAAAACCAATGGGATGAGGTGAGATGCTCAGAATATATTCTACGATTACCCGTTTATTCTGAATTTACTTTCTTGTGAAACAGGACTCAGTGGACGTTTTTGTCAAGGAGCATTTATTCCATGAAAGCCTGAGAAAGATTAGTTTGGGAGGCGCAGATTTAGTTCAGCCTATCATCTCATCTCATTTCAGCCTGTGGTCCCTTCTGAGGCAAAGGCCACCAACCAGCTTCCTCCAGGCATCTCGGTTATGGTCTCTCCAACTGTCCCCACATCTTGCCCATCTGCTTGGTATCTGCTTTCCAATCACGGATCCATGTAATCCTGTGCCGTCCCCTCTTTTCTTTTTTTTTAAAATTTAATACAAATTCATATTTTAAATACATTTAGTACATAATTTTGTTATAATTTGATTCTAACTATCCATTCATGGTAAGGCTGCAAAAACTATCAATATGCAATATATGACTGGCCATTGTCTCTTTTTATTATAAAGAGAAAGTGGTAAGAATATATCTTTTACTTTTTGAAGTGTCTGATCACATCATTAAATTAGTGATTAAATGTAATGCTTTTCTAAGTTATTGTATATTGCTTATGACATTCATGTAAAATATTATTATAATGTTATATACTGCATATGTATATTTTTAAATTTTTCTCTCTCCTCTTTTCATTTCATAGTTTAGCTTATAGAAGAGATCTATAATAACAAACTGAACTATAAAAGTAGATAGCATAAGTAAAAGTACCTTTCCAGACGTAGTTATCTATATTGTTTATTAAAATACTACGATTATTCAAACTTCTGTATTCTATATAACTGAAACATTTAATCGCTTGTAATATGTAAATCTACCTCAAACACTGGCTGTGTAGAAGCAATGTTAAAAAAAAAACTTGGTATACTCATAAATAATAGTAATGGCACAATGTGTTATAGTATTTTAGTATTTTAAAATATTTTTTTAAAAAGTCTATTAATACTAAGGCTTGTCTTCGATATGCCTCGTAGCAGACTATTCAGCAAGAATTGGTCTTACCATAAACAGAGAAAAGCGCAATGTGTTCAAGATAAAGGCATCCAACTATACACCCATTGTAGTCAAAGGAGATGCGCTAGAAGAGGTGGAAAGCTTCGCCTATCTCGGCAGTATCGTAGACCACCATGGAGGAACAGATGCAGATATCTAAACCCACAATTGGTAAAGCTTGAGCAGCCTTCCATCAGATGAAGAACACCTAGTGGGTTAAAAAAATAAGCAGCACCACAAATATTAGCCTATTTAACACCATTGTTAAACCAATACTACTTTATGGAGCAGAGACCTTGAGAACCACCATCATCACCATGAAAGAAATCCAGGTATTCATCAATACCTGCTTGAGGAAGATTCTTATGTTTCGCTGGCTAGTCAAGATAATGAATGAGGAACTGAGGCAAAGAACAAAGCAGCAGCTTATTGAAGTAGATATCCTTTAGAGACGCTGAAGATGGATAGGTTACACTTTTCGCAAAGCTTGCTTCCAACATAACAAGGCAAGCCCTTACCTGGAACCCCTGAGAAAAAGGAATAGGGGAATCGCTATTTAGAAGCAGATGCCAAGCAGGCGGGTTAAAAATTAAATAACTACTTTTTAGCGTCCCCGGAAAGGAAAATGACGCTATTAGTTTTCGGTGGCCTGGCTGTCCGTCTGTCCGTCCTGTTTAGATCTCAGAAACTGGATGAGAAAATGAAAATCGGACATCATGATATTTTAGATCATTACAAGTTCTGATGCAACGGCTACTTTTCCTTTTCCGAAAGTAAACCATCTAATTTTTAAAATTAAATATGCAAGCAGATTTTTCAAAAAATGACACCAATTTTCAATGAAAAACTTCAGGGGAAGTAAGTCTTATTAAAAAGTCACAAGCTTAATTAATATAAAAAGCTTCATTCATAGCTTCGCGCATTGGTACAAACAATTGCATCTAGGTCAGGATTGAAAAAAAAGTATTAAAGGATCATTATAAAAAGATTTTCCATTTATTAACTAACCCATGGAATAGAATACTGATTCGAATGTTGTTTTTAAAAAGAATTTTAATACGAACTTTGTTTCAATTGAAAGTTTTAAAAAAACTACTTATACCGCGCAGTTTTCACACATCCTCATTAGGCTATACACTTGACAACAATCTGAATGTAAATTACAATAAATAAAGGCCAGATCTACATAGATCTATAGACGAGTTCTAGTCTAGATATAGTAGATTCTATATCAAGATTCTCTATCTAGATCTAGACTTAGATATCGACTTGGAGTCTTCGATCTAACTCTAGATCTAGACTTATTTAGATATAGACTTAGAATGACTTAGATCTAACTCTCGATCTAGACTTAAAAACTTAGATCTATTTCTAGGTCTAGACTAAGAGACTTGGATATATTTTTAGATCGAGGCTTAGACTTAGATCATAAATCTAGATTTAGATCTAAAATTAGGTTTGGATCTAGCTAGATCAATTTCTAGTTTGTAAGCACTACGCAAGACAGCAGGGTTTCTGTCCAGGGCTTTTGCAAGAGAGGATTTGTGCCTCTCAAGCCCTCACTCAAATGGAGTTTGAGGATGATGATGATGGTCCTCTACCAATGTCTAGATCTGTCCATCTGTCTCTAAGTGAACCATTTCAGGGGCCGATTTGAGTTTGTGTGTCCACATAAACTATCTTTCTAACCTTGTTTTTATTGATTCATTTCGTGTCATGTTTAATTAATAATTGTGCAAACTTTTCACTTGATATGAGAATGAAAGATGCGATCAAAAAGATGTTCAATCTTTTACCAAGACAACACAGACAGACAGAGTGATTTAATATAATCTTTGTTAAAAGCAGTCCTCCGTGATGCCTGAAAGATGGATTATGGACATTGTGAGACACGGAGAATACTGTCGTTTTTCAATATTTAAGTTTGGATGAGAAAAGATGGGAAAAGATTGGTAGAACATACAACAAGGCTTCTTGTGAATTAAAGGCTGAAGTCTGTGCATTGGGTTTTCTCTTGTTAATACATAAGTAAACCTTCTTTGATTTGCCTCCCTTAGATTTAAAAAAAAAAGATTATTTAAGAATAAAACATTCTGAACTCCAGGTAGCACCCATGGCGTTTTATCCTGTTTGCGGTTAAGTAAACAATAGCGCCATTTGATTCTTTTCAATACTTTAAAACAATCAAAATTAGACAATGGATTGAATATTCTTGCTCCTCTGGGAAATTCTACGAAGACGTATCTGAGTTTGTTTGATAACACAAAACTCTCTGTGTAGTCATGTTTAAAGTATTTTGAGGCGAATTACATAAAATATTCATAGTAAACACAGAGCTAGGTTGTACATCAAATCTATGAGTAAACAAATAGCATATAAAAACCCACACTTACAAAATAATCTTATTTTTTAAAGAATTTTTTTTGTTTTTTTTTACTTTTATTTATGGCTTTTTTTAAATTGACTTTAAAATGTTTCCAATGCTTGCTTTGTTTTTTTTTAATTGGCATAAAATATGAAGTTTATGTAGTCCATAATTTATTCTCTTACTTCGCATAAGAATCCAACTGGTCTACTGTTAAAATTAACACATTCAAAATCATCTAAATTCCAATTAAAATTTTTGTTAAAAGTTTGGCAGTTTTGATAACCTTGATGATCATCTGGCTGTTCTGAGTTCCAGAGAGAGTCTACTTTAGTTAAGCTGTGTCCGTTGATCCACAATCCTTCATGATCTTCATCTGTGCCCCCTGCCATTACATACAAAAAGCGAGACGCCTTTTCATACAGAAAATGTTTGATAAATTCAAGTTCTTGAACGGTGTTAACTTCCACAAGATAGCCTCCAACCAGTCCACACATGGCCTGGCCAAAACTTGGATAAAAGAAAAGTGATTCCTTTGACAAGAGATATGTGCTGCCAGAAAATTTGGTCGACTCTACAAAATATGCTTTCTTAAACAACTCTTAAGATGTTTTAGGGAAAATCTCACGTAATGCATGAGTTGGAGTCTCAGAGATTTTTCTTTTTAATTCATTTTCGTATAAAGATTGATCCCCAAGTTCTGTAATAGAAAATTAATGTTTTAAATATCAACACCATTCTATAATCACCAAAACATGTATTTTTCTCTCTAATAGCGTTTAATAGACGCTATTAGTTTTATGTGGTCTATCTATCCGTCCCATTTAGATCTCGAAAAACTAGAAAAGATAGTTAAAATCCAACATCATGATATTTTAGACATTTTAAAGTTCTGGTGCAACAGCTACTTTTTGACTTTCTAAAAGCGAAACATTTCAATAAGTTGTTTTTTTCCATAAAAATATAACATTTTTACAACTATTCACTATTAATAGTAACAAACACGATAGGCTATTTAGTAAGGTTGATTACTATTTATCCTATTTTTAACACATTTATGCAAATGGTTTTAGATTTTTGTATTTTTTTTTACAAATGTAGCACTACGTTTTAATACGTTCTCTCTTACTACATTTTTAAAAGGGAAATAAATCTTGTGTATGCATATAAGTGAAACAAACTTTAAAAGAATAATTAACAAGTAGTTTTTCATATTATCGCGCGAACTGGTGCACGACACCAGGCACTGCCACTTGCATAACATTTTTTAAAACGGTCCTTTCATTTTAAGTTTTACTGGCAAAGCGACCTTAGGTTGACCATCCGCTTTATTTCACAGTGCACTAAGTGAGTAATCTCAGCAAGGTTCGTTACAAATTTGGTTTCTGATTCGGTAGTCGGTAGACTACTAAACCACTGTGTAGGAGTATGCTTTTTAACACTATAGAACTTGAAATAACTTAAGCCTCTTTTGTGAACAAAACTAAAAATAGTTTTTGTTATAAACTTTTGATGAAATCATTTTAAAAAATCTATCTCGATATAATAACATTTCCTTACGTTTTGCATACTGGAGTTAACTCTTTTTCTTAACATAGATTATATAAAAAAAAACGTTTATCTTGCATTATTTTTAAAAATAATTATTAATGCTTACTTTCTTCATAATCTTCTTGGAAACACACACACACACGAACGCCATATTAACGTTCACTTCATCCCTGGTCAATTCATCTCCGGTTATTTAATCTCTAGTCACTTCATCGCCGGTTATTTTATCTCTGGTCACCTCCTCGCCGGTTATTTTATCTCGGGACACTTCATCGCCGGTTATTTTATCTCTGGTCACCTCCTCGCCGGTTATTTTATCTCGGGACACTTCATCGCCGGTTATTTTATCTCTGGTTACTTCCTCGCCGGTTATTTTATCTCTGGTCACTTCCTCGCCGGTTATTTTATCTCTGGTTACTTCCTCGCCGGTTATTTTATCTCTGGTAACTTTCTCGCCGGTTATTTTATCTGTGGTCACTTTATCGCCTGTTATTTTATCTCTGGTCACTTCATCGCCTAATGTTGCTTTTAAGGATTCAGTTTTATCTAGTTTAGTATAAATATGTTTATTTACAAGATGTTTGCTGATGTTTATTATTCTTATGGAAAAAATCTATATTATATTTACAAAGGTTATGACTTTTAAACTGACTCACTTATCACAAATTTTTCCATTTCCGGTACACAAAAAAATAAGAAAATTTAGCCTCTCATCTTTTTTTATAGATCTAGGACAAGTTGGAGATTTTCAAGGTGCTAACTGCAAAAGTTAAATTTACTATATACTATTCTTAAGTCGCAATTTTAACTCAATATATGTTTGAAAGACATCACATTAAAAAATTAGCGCTTCCTGTTAAGCTTATAGGCTTAATTTTAATTAGTTAACCAACAATTGGTAATTAATTATTTTGTTTGGTACCATATAAAGGGAGAGAGATCATATTAGACAGATGTGATGGCATAAGTTGAATTATAAACCTTCAGGAGGCTTGAGACATGAGTTCGAATATCATGTGTTCAACCTTTGTATGCATTTAAAAAGCGATCACGGTAACATTCACAGGGGGTATCTCCTTTTTCAAAGTCTCCCCCAGTTTACCTTATCCTAACTGGTCAGACAAGTAATAGGATCATAGCGCAAGAATACAATTAAAAGCATAAAATTACGTTTAACAGAACAATTGGTAAAAATATTTCTAATCTTAAAGATTCATTATTGTTACAAATTTAATTACATTCCTGATTCAATTTAATTGATAACTTCATATTACCATTTTTTAAAAATAATGTTTGAAAATATTTTTAATGTTATTCTTGTTGTTAAATGTATTTAATAGCCTAAATACAGTACTACACAATCTCTACAGGTTTCTATGGGATTCTGTTCTTCTTCTTTCTATCTATCTCACATTATTACGTACCTTCTACAACGAAACTGCTTATTGTCGAGTATAAAATTGTAAGCGCAGCCAGCGTTACGTTACATCCAGCAGAAAGTATTGGAATGTCTTTTGGTTAATGTACCCATACATTCAGATTACTCAATTGTTATGTCACACACTACATTCGTTTTATTTGGAGGAAGAGGCCCACCAAGATATTCTTGAATCCGGGCCCACGGATACCTTGCTACGCCACTGGTTATCTACAATGGGAATGTCTTTGATTCCAAAGATTAAGGAATAGTGCAGTTTCACATGACACAAGCCCAGTTTCGACCTGCATATTTCTACACATCTGATGCAGACGAAACTGTTATCCGCGGGTATTTTATTTAAGTGTTCTTTAGGTTTTCTGCACCTTTCCTCTAGTAATACTTTTCTCTGGGCTGCAAGATGTGTGTCGCTCTACCTTGGTGAGAGCTTTTAATAAATATAAATGATGTTACTTAATTAAATAACATTTTATTTTTTAACATTGAAATTAATGTCGCTTCACTTGATATGTACTAAAAAAAAAATCAATAGCTACAATACAAATAATAAAAAAAAAAAGACCGTCGTTGTGTTACGGTCACAGATTGAGAGACTCTGTACTTAACAATATGATTGAATACTGTCGTACCTCTGGGCATGCTGTTATCACACTCCACCCAGTCTGGGGTGCTCCGGTTGTAGACACACTTCTCCCACAAGCCTTCGAGAACATCCTCAGCCTTGAGCCAGGAGGTTGCTGCCACTGAGATCATGAGAAGCAGCACTGCCAACACTCCGCACAGCAAGCCCAAGACCTGTGAATAGTAAATTCACTCTTGCTGGATGCATACCGTTTTAAAGTAAAACAAAAAAAAATGTATAAATTTACCCTTTTAGAGCTTGCGATCTCTAGGGCAGATGATGTTAAGGTCATCTGTTTCTTTGGCTAACGGTTAACGAGCAGGGTGTCATGTGACCTGCACAACGACTAACCGTAGGTAGGCCTACCCTAAAAATACCGAAATTCAAAATCAGTCTTCACTATTGTCACGTACACAGTATCTATATTTAGCTCGTCAGCGACCTCGGGAAATTCCATCACGCGGAGGGCTATGTGTCAGAATAAATATGATTGGTTTTGAAATACTAATTTTTGTACCTTGAGCTGCATTTATTGGTTGGCATTGCTACGAGGTGCGTTGGACACGTGACAACGCTATTCCCGGGGAAAAGTTCTAGATTTTTAGTCAGTCTTGTATGGAACGTGTTAATGAGAACATGTACTAGAGTTTTGTGTATTAGAACTCAATTATATTATTGTGTAGATCTGTTATTTTATTCAAATGCATTTAACCATTGTAATTATTTGTGAATAGCTTTTTCAAGTTCTGAATTAAAGTAATTGTTTTAGACGAAGAGGAGTTTCTTCATTGAATATAGTAACATACTTAGATCGATTTAGCGATTGGCAACTTCTAGATGATCCTCTTATCAACTGACAACATTCTGAATGATCGTATTATCAACTAGATCTAGCTACTTCTATACGATCATCTTATTAAAAGACGATTCAAGATCCTCGGCAATCACGATCATTGATGGTGTGATATAGATCAAGATAATCTTCAACGTATCTATCAGAGCATCTTCATAGATCTTGACATCTGACATCCACAATTGATGATTGTGACAACTAATATTCGAACCAAGAACCCCAGGTTCGGAAGCCAATTGTTTAACCACTCTGCCATCTCGCCCCCTACCCCCAAAGTTTGTTTAAATAGAAGTATCTTCATATTTGTTTCAAGTTAAACATTAAGAATTAACTACGCTTTCGTCAGTTTAGTTGTACCAGGTGTTTGGGGCTACAAACCAACGACGAGGAACAACAGGGGGAGGGGAAGGCTCAGCACGGTTGATCGACATAACGTAATTATTATAAGTCTACCGCAGCCTCCCCGCCTTCCTCACAAAACACAGACAATAGATTAGCTATGCGGTTGAGAGGCTTGGCTACCAATCAAAGGGGGTTTGAGACCAATCGTTACAGGAGGCCTGAACACTGGCCTGCAACGTCACAACATGTGGGCAGTTTAGACCAATAGCTCGTTAGCAGGTGTGTACGTCACAGGTGTGCACGAATGGTCTCGCTCGCATAGAGTTGTGTTTGCTTATTTCCTATACGAAGCACGGAAAACTTTCTCCTAGATACCCCTTCCCCCCACTGGTCCACAAATGAGATTGGACCATAGCGCTCGGAGCATGCTATGAGCATATATAAAAGCTTTTTTTT